ACTCCCAGAATTCCCTTGCTGGCTGGGGAATTCTGGAAGTTGAAGTCCCCCGTCTTAAAGTTGCCAAGGTTGAGGAACCCTGCCTTACTGGAATGTTACACAAAAATGAGATGATAACATCCAATTCAACATCAAATATGATGACATAAATCAATTTCCTGATTAGAGCATGGATCCAAGAAAACCCTTTTTAAATGAAGCTAGAGTGAAGACCCCCGAGCAGGAGTATCTGCAGGGGGAATCAAAGAAATCCAGAGGGCACCATGGCTGTGTAATCAACACCTTTTAAAGATGCATTGCATAATATATGTAAAAAGGAGCAAGCCTTGGATCACGCGGTCATGGCTGTCCTCTTGACTCTTTGGGTTCCCCCACCACACCCCTGCCCCAGTGCTACTTGGAAATCTTTTTCAAATCTTTTTTTTTTGCTATGCCAGCAATAGCCATGTTCCCAGGATAAGGAATGGCATAATCTCTCTTCTGATCCATTGCCGGACTACAAGTGACATCACAGGAAGGAGCAAATCTGAAGGGGGGGGAATTTTTTTTGGTGTTTTGGGGGGGTGAAGGGAGGGAATTAATCTGAAGGGGGGGGAATTTTTTTTGGTGTTTTGGGGGGGTGAAGGGAGGGAATTAATCTGAAGGGGGGGGAATTTTTTTTGGTGTTTTGGGGGGGTGAAGGGAGGGAATTAATCTGAAGGGGGGGGAATTTTTTTTGGTGTTTTGGGGGGGTGAAGGGAGGGAATTAATCTGAAGGGGGGGGAATTTTTTTTGGTGTTTTGGGGGGGTGAAGGGAGGGAATTGAAGCCAGAGGCCACTGGGAGCCCTCTCTCCAAAAAACCCCACAGCCCCCCAATGGCCCAAAATTTCACCACCGCAATTTGGTGCAAAAGGACTGAACGTCGGGGGTGCAATTTCAGGCTCTGTTGGGGTTTGGTTTCATTTTTTAAAGCATGGAAGTGGCAAAAGAAAAACAGCGAGAAGATGCCCACCTAAAAACTTTCCGAGGGGCAGGTGCCCTCAAGAGGGCGATGAGCAAGCAGCTTTCCATCTAACCTCTCTGATTGTTATGATTTTTTTTTCTTTTTAATTTACTATGCTTATTCCTATGTACTTTTAATTTACTTTTTATACCCTGTAACTCCTGGGAGGCCACCTGTCTGCTTCAGCGACAACTCAGTAAAATTTAGGATAGGACTCAAGAACGGGAAAAGGGAAGAAGAGACAGCCAGTGCTTGGAAGTGGAGAAGCTGGTTAAGGGCAAAGGACTCAGACGCATTAGGGACATCATAGCTGGGACTGCAGTTCTGAGACTGGCAAAGCCTGGCCGAATGAGCAGGGATGGACAAGGCTAGGAAATGTCCAGGAGACTAGCATGGAAAGCAGAGAGGGGTGCAGTCCAGGAGCCCAGCAGCATAGATTACTGCTCATCCTGGGACTATTCTCCAAGTGCTGGAAACCTAAGAGCTGATCAGAGGCAGGGTGGAGGAACGACACCCCTGGGCTCTCCAGAGTTTGGAATCCGCCTCCTGCAGTTCTCTCCTGGCCCCAGCAGCCCTGGTGGACCACAAACGGGCTCGGTTCTAGCTCCGCAGGACCAAAGGCTTGGAGGCGTGTGACCTTCTGATGTCTCTGCAACTTTCCTGATGGTCTCTCTCTGACAGAACGGATACACCCCTTTGCACATCGCAGCCAGGCAGAACCAGATGGAGGTGGCCTGCAGCCTGCTGCAGTATGGTGCTTCTGCCAATGCCGAATCCACGCAAGGAGTGACCCCGCTACACCTGGCGGCCCAGGAGGGCCACGCGGACATGGTGGTGCTGCTCCTCTCCAAGCAGGCGAATGGCAACTTTGGGAACAAGGTGAGTAGACCTTCTTCTTGGTTGTCCCCTCAGAAGGATGGTGGGGACTTGGGGAAGGGCTGAGAGGACCGTGAAGGTCTCCATCTCTTCTGATCAGGATAAGGTGAGAAGCTGTTTTATTCTGTTCTCATGGAGGAGAAGTTTTTCAGCAGGAATTAATCAGGAAAGCTATAATGCACCTTCCAGGTTCAGGAACGGCATATTTTTTTAGAAAGGGATGATGGGGGAATAAGAAAGAAATTGCCTAGTATGGAATAACTTAGTTCGTTGCAGTCTATCCTGATTGGCAGGGGTTCTTCTAAGCATACCTCAAGATTCCCAGGACAATTTGAACCTTCTGCATGTAAAGACTCAAACTAACCTCTCCGTGATCATGTTCTTCTCATGAGCATCTAAATGGCCCTTGGAGGAGTTAGAATGTGGGATCAACTGGAGCTTCATTCTGGCTTATTTGGGTTAGGACATGGCCCACAAGGCTCTACTATTAATATTTTTTTTCCAGGAGGATTTATTTCTGCAAAGGGTCATTAGAGGACATTGTTAGGTTTTGCAATACTTCCTCTAATGGGAAGAGGGATTGCTGAAAAACAGTTCTATCATACAATTAAAATACAGGTAGTTCTCGACTTGCAACCGTTCATTTAATGACTGTTTGAAGTTATAATGGTGCTGAAAAAAGTGACTTATGACCAGTCCACTACACTTGCATTGCAGTATTCCCCCATAGGCCCGTGATCAAAATTTGGGCACTTGGCAACTGGCATGTATTTATGACAGTTGCAGCGTCCCAGGGTCACATGATTGCCATTTGTGACCTTTCCAGAGGGCTTCTGACAAGCAAAGTCAATGGGGGGAGAAGGATTCCCTTAATGACCACGACAAAAAAGGTCGTAAAATTGGGTGCGATTCACTTAATAACTGCATCACTTAGCAAGGGAGGTTTTGGTCGCAATTGTGGTTGTAACTCAAGGATTACTACAGGTAATGTTCAGAATGCAATCTCTAAGAGAATTACTACAGATTTCTAAGAGATAATTCAATTAAATAAATGCAAATTCAGAGTAGTCCAGTTCTCATTATCCTGTTGTTTCTGCTTATTTGATAATTTTTTTTTCTCCCCACCAGTCCTATGGGGAAGAAAAAATTGGGGTGGCCCCTCACTGCCATTGTCACCTTTTTCATTCTCTAGTCCAGTGTTTCTCAACCTCAGCAACTTTAAGATGCGTGGATGTCTACTCCCAGAATTCCCCAGCCAGCATGCTTGCTGGGGAATTCTGGGAATTGACGTCCATACTTCTTCAAGCATGCTGGCTGGGGATTCTGGAAGCTGATGTCCACCCATCTTAAAGCATGCTGGCTGAGGAATTCTGGGAGCAGACTGTTCAAGTTAGGGTTAGGGTTAAAGTTACGCGTGAAAGTTGCTGAGGTTGAGAAACACTGCTCTAGTCAGGTTTGCAAATATCTAAGAACCAAATCTAGTCAATTTCGTAACCCTTCCACAGTTTCATACTAAGTAAGACACACTGACTTCACTTTCCTTGCCTCTACAAGTGCCAAATGCCTTTCTCTAACAGCATCCTATGAATACAGCTGATAGTGTCACAACAGAAACACATTGGCAATTGCCCCAAAGACCTCTTGTAAAAGTAGTACGGGGAAAAAGATTTTTGAGAGAGAGAAAACAGTCAGGAGGATGGGTTAAAGCATGCATCAGATGTCCAATGAGTGAGGCAGTCATCGCACCAGTGATATTGCTGAACATCTTTCCCTGCTTTAAGGCATGTGCTTTGGATGACCCAATGGAGGGAATTCGTTGCTTTATTGCTCTTTATTTGTGGGTTTTCTATAAACATCATCTTTTTGGCCACTGTTGGAGGAGATCAAATTCTCTTCTCAACAGCAGCGTTCCTCTTCAGTTCATGTGCCGCCAGTTTATACTAAAAACAAAGATTTGCCATAGAGCCCCTTTTCATTAAAAATAAAATGAAATCGAGTGAAGAAGCAGCATCTGTACTACGTCTCTTTAGTCCAAGTCCAACGCCCAAACTACTGTATCGCATTGGTGACAACTTGTTAAAATGCCCGTTCATTCCTAGATTCTCTTAGCAGCTCTCAGAGAGCAGAGGGGACTCGTGGCTGCATTGGGGCCATATTTGATGGCTTGGAAATTGGCTTGCATTTGTGGGATCCTGGAGAAAACCTCTGCACATAAGGGATTTCTCAGAGCCCGGGAAGGAGAATGGCGATTGGCAAAATGTATCTGGGCAGGAAAATCTGCCCATTCCTGCCATATGAGTGAAGTGAGTAGGAATCTCCCCTTCAAGAGCTGGTCAGAAAGAAGAGCGAAGAATCTGCACCTCAAGAAACTAATGATAAATGAGGTGCTACAGTAGACATGGCAGGTTTCCAAGATTCTGTAAGAAGA